GTGGTGCTCTATCATCAATCCATTTCCGCTCCACTTGCCAACACAACTCGCAAGGAGTATCGGTAATACATCGTAATCGATAATGCATCCAGTGCTAAGCACTGGCAGTGCCTGGAGTGCATAAAAACTGAAGATTCAGTAGTTCGCCCGAGTAGCTCTAGCACGGTCTGGCCCAATGGTACAACACCTTACCCACATCACCGTATGTAAATTACATAATGTAATGGTAGTGTTTCCAAGTAAGCATGCAGTATGAGCATGATTGGAAACTAATCTACAAAGCGGCGCCGCAGGCCCTTGAGGGACTGTGTAAGCATCATTGGGGCAAAATGAGTAATTTAGGGGCGAGCGAAGTTTTTTACGGGCGCCGGAAGAAATCCACTCAGAGGGCACTCTTAGACTGCAACAGTCTACACTGTAGACTCTACAGCAGTACCTCCAGACTGGCGCTCTCCGTCCCTATTTCCGTTGACTGGATAGAGTTGATAAACGTTTCACCTATGGCTCGTATAATTTCTCATGTCAAACGTGTGTAACTTAGTTTTCACTCAAAAAAAGAGGGCGCTCTTCGTAGTTGCGATATTGCGCCTGATTGCACGTACCGTGTTGAATACACCGAATCACCGGCTTTGGTTCGGTGAACTAGATACCTAAATTTGCCTTTTAATCGTCACATCATGTTTCCTCACAATTTCCATATCGTCACCAACACATGCAGTTGACAATGTTCATATTTTGGTAATTGTATTTCCGAGGATGCTGTTCAGTCCGTTGATGAAATCGAATGGCTCCGCTCCCTCTGCGAATACGACTAAGGTGATTGCTATAGATAACGGTGGAGGTCTGCTGAAGGCGGGGTTGATTGACCCGACGCTTGAGCACGAGGCTCTTCTCTATCCCGAGACTGTTATTCCCAACGCTGTAGCAAGATCGAGGCGTGGTGGGAAAACGACGAAACGGAAGCTCCTCATTGGAAAGGAGATAACGTCTTGTCCCGAGTAAATCTACAGAGGTTTTCATCGTGTCAAGGGCGCATTAGGTACATCATGACGAGGCCTTCCCATAAGGGGGTTGTCGTTGATTGGGAGACGCAGAAGATCATTTGGGACAGCGTATTGCACGGGCGACGGCATCTTCCTGGGCTTCTCCCGAAGGTGAAAAGATGGGAAATTTCTATTTAACGATTCCTTGGAATGTTTTATGCGTCTTACGTGCTCACGATGTCGCACATTACCGACCTTTTCCGTGAACCTCAGGGCACGGACGTTTCTGAAGTGACGATCATCGTCACACAGCCACTATGCTGTCCGACGATGGTCACCCGTGTTGGAATGCAGGTTAGATGCGGCCGAAAATCGTCGTGTGTGTAGCTGTAGGTCTTAGGTTCTCTTTGAAGATTTTGGATTTGCTCGTGCAGTAATTGTTGATGCTCCCTTATGCATTCAGTCCAGTGAGGGCCTCAAATCACAGTTCAGTGACGAGGAGTGGGAGAATCCCTGCGGGTTGATTGTTGATGCGGGATTCAGCGGATGTCGGGCGGTGCCACTGTAGCATCTCGAGGGGATCGGCTACCTATTGGATGTGTTTTCATCACTCTGGGCTACTCATGAAAAAAATATGAAGCCAATCGTGGGGAGGATTATATGTCGTTTCTACGCAGTCCCCGGTCGATGAACGTTTCACTCATCACTAATATGATCTATCATGTCAGACGTGTGTAGTTCTGTAGTTCCACAAGAAAAGCACTCAGAGAATGACGTTTGCAACACACACCCTCTATCGCATGGAATTAGGTACAATATGTATCCCATCGAACACTGCGCTCAGAGAATGGATGTGGGTGGTAGAGTCATGACCAACTACCTGAAGGAAGCTATGGCGTAATCAAGTGCATTCTGTGTCGGCAAGGATTCGTCACTGTTTAGACATAATCAAGTTGATCTCGACGATGCGCCGTTACTCGTTGAGAACATCTTTGAAACAATGTGCTATTCTGCACAAGATTTTGCAGAGGAAGTGAAAGCCTCTCGGGCTTGTCCTCATGAGAGAGCCCGACGTTACGTCCTTCCGGACCATTCCTCAACATCAAATCATTTGGGAAAGGTTGTGGACCCTGGACAAGGGGATGATGTTACTAATAAAGATTGTGTTGATTTGAGCCACGAGAGGATGGTAGTCTGTGAGGCCCTGTGGCAACCCGGTTCAATTGGGGTCCTCCAAGCCGGACTGGCCGAGATGGCGGCGACAGCCGTGATGAAGGCTCCCGTCGCAACGAGATCGGCGATCGCCAAGAAGGTACGTGTGGCATGGCTCCGTCTGTGTTGCAATTTCAAATTGAATTCAACCTGAATGCAGTAAAAGTTACCCGATGCAGGATTCGAACCTACGACCATCTGCTCCGTAGGCAGACATTCTATCCAGCTGAACTAATCGGGCGATGTTTATAGTCTTGATTGGATGCATTCATCCCATCAATCTCGTCAGGTTATCTTGGGAGGAGGTCTTTTCCTCATTCCGGGTGTTTTGAAGAGATTCAAGGAAGAGTTCAGGTCGTATTTGCCCGTGGAGATTGCCAGTGAGGTTAAATTCTTCGCTGAGCCGGACGGGAGATACGACTTGTCAGTTTGGAGAGGCCTTCATGCTCTTGGTAACAATTTACTGTATTGTGTTCGCCTCCATCAGAATCGTCTGATATCGCTCTATAGGTTGAGGTTTTAGTGGTTCCTTATTTTATAGGTTCCTCAGAAGAGAACTTGTCGCATCTCGGATTGCTCCATCGAGAAGCTTGGTTAGCTGCTGTTACTAAGGCATCGAGCAACAGTGCCCCCGCAGAGGCTAACCGAGCAGCGTCCACCCCAAGCACCAACTCTCGACGAGGTCGTAAGTCAAGCCAATCTGGTCGTAAGAGGAAGTGTAAGAAAAATGATTGATTCTATGGAGATTTTTCCATGTGCTGAGTTGAATACATTGAAAGGGATTGCTCCGCAATATGCTACACTAATCCAGGGCCACTGCGCGATCTTTCACCTGGTTATCCCGAAAGGAAACTTCTACCTCTTTTCTTTAAGAAATTGTTACTTGGAGTGCAATGACATAGTGAAGGTATTGTGCTTGTAAGTATTGTTAGCAGTACGATCGGCAGGAGGCCCTCAGACCTTGATACGAATGATAACTTCCACGGAACACAAAATTGGAACTTGTAGGAAATCTCAACATAAAACAGTATATCAAATGGTTGCTAGAAAAGCATCATCGATCTCCGAGCTCTCCGGCGTCACATCTTCATCATCTCCCGAGTCCATCGGCTCCTGCTCAGTGAGGGCGTATTCTTCATCCAGATCAGGACAAGGAAATCTGAGTACGCAAAGTTTTCCCCAATTATTATTGATTCTTACTTCAGTGTTGCTGCTATACCAGCAAGATTCTGTAGTTGTTCACCACTAACGTGTTGAGTACTAAAAACGAATACACTACTCGTGGTCTGCACCTCATCCACGAGCGCCACATATCTGTTAATCAAAATACAATAAAAATGACAGAGGTAACCATACCGCTTCCTGACAGCAACAGAGGACGATCGGAAAAGACCGTCTGTGATCAGCAGCTCTTCAATCGCGCCCATCTCAGCCGCTTTCGTCACAGGGCCTGTTACCATACTTTAATAATCAATCTCGTAGTGGACTTACCGGGCCCATAAACGGCTCGTTCCGGATCATTCTTCAACATAGTATAAAATCGATCCAGTGCAGAGACATTCGACATTGCTTTAGTATCAGCCACCTGGCGGGCAAAAAAACCTTCGCTGTGCGCGCGGAAGATACAATATAAGTTTACCTGCGACTTCACAGTTTCATTCGACATCAGTTCGTTGAGCCCTTGTTTGTACGCTGTAGAGCAGTGACAGGAAACGAACTTATTCTTTGTTGCGTTTAACATTAATGAATCGGCTGAATGAAAATACGTTTTTTCTATCAGAAAAAGTAACTCACCTTTCTTGGTCGCTTCCTCCCGGGCATATTTCACAAAGTCATCTTTGACAAAACCGGGGCCCGCGATGACGATGCATTTCACTCTTTCAAAATCAACGTGATTTTTTATTGCTTGATAAACCTGATATCAAGCGGCTTTCAAGGGCGTGCGCTTTTTCCCATAATACATCACCACGATTGCCTCGTGAGAGCTACAGTATGTGTCAACTTGATATGCAAATGTGAGTTATTTTCCGAGATTAGTAATACTCGATTTGAAACTGCAATATAACCATAACTATGAACATGTGTTGTGATGAGAGTACCCGTTTGGGGTTGTGATAGCGACAACTTGTTCACTATAATAACGCATATCAAATTGGCACGTACTGTATACAACTGACGAAAAACTTACGTGTTCGTAAAATTTATTCAATGCCTTCTCGTATCCACTACTCCCACTACGTTTCTTGGGAATAGTCACAGACACTCTAAGAAAAACAACTGAGCTCAACCGTAGGAAAGTCTTCCTACTTTACCATCTCCTTCGCGAGAACTCGCGTAAGGAGATACAAATTTGAAATCCCGGAATCGATCAGTACAACCGCGAGCTCAGCATTGGCTGAAACCTGCAGAAAAAAAACTGAAAATTTTCGTGAAAAAAATTTTCTGCGACTTACATTCGTTGCTTCACTGAGTATGTCGAGTGAAAAGCTGTCCCAATTCCCTTTTGAAATTTGTATCTGCTACTAAACTCTTCTATGGAATAGCAAAGACCTGGTACCTTATTATTCAACCCAACCTCTATCGTGTGGTGCTGATTCAGCTTGATATATGGGCTCTCGGTACGGTTCTTGCCCGAGAACCTAACACCCCCAGACATGCGACCCGCACAAGTTCAATTCCCCCCTACCGTATTATATTCGCTTCACCATCATAATCAACTGCCGTCACTGCGATGGTCAATCGCAAATGCCTTTTTTCTGACGACACGCTACCACTACCTGAAAATTCCCACATGTCAAAATCGATCAATAACAAAATCTATCCGACTAGTTTCCTTCGACACTTTTCTCACCGTATTAGCCGTTACTCGATCGCCTCTTTGAACCTATATCACAAAACCATCAATTCCGAATAGCGAACCAAACTCCATGTAAAAAAATCAACATTTTTCCCCTGCACAAAAGACATCCACATTTTTTAAGGGTGATGACTAGAACCGTTTCGTCGATCTTGCCGAGTTCCGTCAAACACAGTGGAGTTTCACCCATGATATGAAAAACATATTTCACATTTCACTTCGCCAAAAACAATTGTGTTGTATATAATTGTCATCGAATATTTCGCCACTTCGCGTCAAATGGGTGAAACTCCAATACGTATCAGTTGAATCTGCGAAATTCCCTCAAAGAACGTAAACCACCGAAGTATCTCACCAGATTATAAAGATGCCAAATATCCTCCGACTCTTCCGCAATGACAACTACTCGACCACTGCCGTCTTTTTCTATTTGTCTTAACTCAATCTTCATCTTTCACCCGTGATATGCGCAAAAACACTAGTGGAAAAACACATTTCACTTCGCGAAAAAACGCATGTGAGCAGTGTCTAATTTGCCAAGTGTTTTCAATACATTTAATATCGCGTATTTCACCACTTCACGTAAAACTCCAAAAAGTTCTAATAATTTTCGCCCAAAAATACTCTCCAATTCAACAACACATACCCAAACTTGAAAAATCGTTTCAAAATGCAATTGCAAATAAACATGTTATCAATCTGCATTTATAATAGTACACCGCACTGCGAAGATTTTCCAAAAGATTCTCTCACTCAGCGTTCTGACTTCAGAAGCGCATGAAAAAACAACTGATGAAATAATACCTGAAATAAATCAACCAGAAAATTTCCCAAAAATTTCGGGAAAAAATATACTTACCGGAGAGATTTCATCTCGGCTCGCCATTCGCGATGCACACGCGATTTCATACCAGTAGATGTAACTGTCAGATTAGCAATTTCCGCAACACTCAAAAAACTCAATTTAGTGTTGGAAGTGGTGGAAAATGTTCATATGCTCATGTGTTGATGACAATACGAAAATTCAGCGAGGAAATTTTGGAAAATTCTTCTTTATTTCTGTACACTTCTTCCCAATTTCATGTGTTTATTTCTATAATGGATTTCACCCGTTTTACGTGAAGTGGCGTAATACTCCGTGAAAAACGCGATATTCGCGGTGATATGCAGTAGTCGTGAAATATATTTTTCACCAAAATAAAACCAAACAAGTGTCTCCACACTGCGCAAGTCAGATGAATTCTACTGTGACAGTCTGAGCTGTGCGTTGTTAATATCATTAGCGTTTTGTGTAATGTGTCTACTGCTAGGCTAAGACATTTTATTCCTTTGATTACTCATATAAAAATAAGGTTATGAACGTAATAGTATTAGTTGCGTTAACTATCAACAGGACAACCTGTTACACTTCTGTAGACGCGGAAAAAAATATCTTCGCTCCGCTCAGCTAAGCTCAAAAGTTTCTATACAGTACAACTTAGATCCAAGTCTGCAGAAACCAACAGAAATTTCCCAAAAATTTCCATAATTGTCATCAACACATGCAGTTGACCATGTACATATTCCCCCTCACCTCCTTATAAGCCGCTCTCGTCGTGCTTGCTGCTCCATCCCATGTAACTAACAACAATCAACGATCTTGCAATCTTGCATTTCCTCAACGCATTCAGTTAAACACTAACAACAACTGCATTCACGTCATGCCGTTCGCAGTTGATGGAGGTTCTGTGATGGGAGTTTTGGCAATATGTCACGGACGAGGGTGGATCACACAAACCCATGTAGGATGCAGTCCACGTCCATGACACATTCAGTGCCCGGCACCAAACACGGCTATATCAATCAGCCACTGTGCAGATCCCGAGTGAATGCTCCCCCTCTCAGAAAAGAAAAATAACTCCGTCACACCCAAGATATCTCTTTCGATGCCTCCAACAGAAATTCCCAAGCACTCTGGGGGAACTTTCTCTGTTCTTGGGTGTGTCGGCCGAAGGTGATCAGACTGGATCACTGCGTTTGCAACGACTTGACGTCTTGCATTTCCTCAACGCATTCAGTTAAACACTAACCATAACAGCACTCTTCAAATCTTGCAATCTTGCATTTCCTCAACGCTGTCGTCCCTACCACTCACCTCTTCCTCAGCCATACACACCAACAACTGTTCATGCAAGGGCCTGCAGTCCCCCATCAGCGACACAATATCTGTCCCCGATCTCGGGCGACAGCCTCGATCTCCATCATTAACTCCTTCATGTGATTCTGATGACGAGGAGGAATCGTAATAGTGAAAATCTTCGCTGTGCGTAAGTGAATCTACGAAGCAGAATATACTGTATAGCTGCTGAGCCCAACAGAGTTTCGTCACTAATCATACAAGTTTACAAAAACCAACAAGAATTATGGAATAATAATAAAAAATTTTTTCCTCGCATTCTATTAGAAAAAACCAATTATTTTTTGCCAACACCACCGCTGCTGTATATCAAATGTTGGAGTAGGAATATATGTTCGCTCTCCTCAGCTGCTGAGCTCAGCAGAGTTTCCTCACTGATTATAGAAGTATACAGAAACCAACAAATTCCCACACAATTTCGTACAGTAACCGAAATAATTTTCCAAAATTTTCTCATCCGCATCAACACACGCGTTTTGCGTGAAGTGGCGTGATCCTCTCTGTGAAAAACGCGATATTCGCGGTGATATGCAGTGGTCGTGAAATATATTTTTCGCTAGTACTTTTTTCATATTACAGGTGAAACTCCAATGAAAATCTCCCGAAATTTTCTCAGAATTTCCATATGCATGTACATATTTTCTCACACTGCTACTACAAGAAATAAATCTGCACGTGAATATCAGAAAAATGGGAATTTTCTGATAAAAAATACATTTTTTCGTTTTTTATCATTGCAGGAGTTTACGTGAAATGGTGTAATACTCCATGTGAAAAACGCGATATGAAGTGAGTTGAAAATACTTGGCGAATTACACCGGACAAATTATCACCACGCGTTTTTCACTGCTCATATGCGTTTTTCGCCAAGTGAAATGAGACTACTTAGTGTGAAACTCCATCACTAACAATTTCTTACTTTTCAAAACTCCATCCTGAAATTCCTCAATATCAGCCAACAATTTCGCCGCTTTGGGCAAACCGATTTCTATCAAATCCGCTTCTGATACAACTCCGTTTTCCGACAGTTTAATATATCTAAACTCAGCACTGAAGGAAAATATGCAAATGGTCAACTACACGTGTTGTTGACTATATGTAAATTCTCCTTGTTTTCTGTACACTTCTACCCAAACTAGTTTATAAATCTTCGTAATTAGTGAGGAGATTCGTGAGCTCAGCTGAGGAAAGCGGAAACATATATTCCAATTGTGTTGGAGTAGGAATATATGTTCGCTTTCCTCAGCTGCTGAGCTCAGCAGAGTTTCCTCACTAATTATAAAAGTGCACAGAAACCAATAAGGATTTCCCAAAATTTCCTCAGAATTTCCACATTTTCACCAACACACACGTAGTTGAAACAATTCGAAATAAAATTTATGAATTCGTCAACAAATACAACACCAATTTTTTTCATTAAGAAAAATTACATTCCCCCAACCTTACGTAAGGGCGAACGAAATAATCGCTTTCGCAACTCGGGGCTTTGGTAAGTTGATCAGTCGCATCTCGCCACTCGAAAGCGTTGAATCAATTTCCGACATTTCAAATTCCCCAAGGGAAATACCTGAGGATGTTCTTCACATAGATACAGTGAATGTCAAATTGATATGTGTTATTATAGTGAACAAGTTGTCGCTATCACAGTCCCAAACGGGTACTCTCATCACAACACATGTTCATAGTTATGGTTATATTGGAGTTTCACCCTAGCGATATGAAAAACGCTAGTGGAAAACATATTTCACGACTACTGCATATCACCACGAAGATCGCATTTTTCACCGAGTTTCAACGCCACTTCACGTAAAACGGGTGATTTAACTCCATTGTATATATGCGATACAATTCCAAATCGACTCTCATTAATCTGGGGAAATAACACACATTTGCATATCAAATTTACACAAGGCACTTTCGCGTTGTGCGTGCGTGCGTGCAGAATTATTGTGGCTCAGCTACGAAGCATGGGAGGCTATCAGATAGATCAAACGACTCCTCTATATGCGGAGGTGTTGGGAAAAATCGGACAACTCGATTATGCGAACAGCTCGAAAACTCGGAAAACTCGAAAACAGCTAAATGCATAAAAAACTTTAATGACGGAGAAATGTCCTACCCGGGGATCGAACCGGGGACCTATGTAAAATTCATTGATCGAGTCCTTGGACGGGGACTCAGTGAGCTCCGCCTCTTCTTCACGAAGGCCTAGTGGCGTAATACTCCATGTGTAAAATGCGATATTCGTGATAAGAAGGGAATTGAAAACAATTCGCGCATAACACTGAAGAAATCATCCCATATCACGTCAAACAAATCACGTGTTATACGTGTTATTCACTGCTCACAAGCGTTTTCGCGAAGTGGGCTGTGAAATATGTGGTGAAACTCCAGTGCAAAACATTTTATAATTCGAGACTCATACCACTCCACAGACAACTTACTCTCATCAAGTGATCCATAAACACACCAATGACCAAAACTCGGATGCTCATAAGAGTTCTCAACCACAAATCGAACCTAACCATTTACATTTCGCGCTCGCCCTGATGATCGATTTCTCACCAAAGTCTCCACTGATCCAGGCAACCATACACTCAGCAGGAATGGACACAATATAATACTGTACCTGCAATACCAGTGAAAACAAAAAAAAGGAAAATTTTCTCACAGTTCAAAAAGTATTATTCGAATCCGATCCACGTAGAACACTGACAGGAAACTCGCCTTGCATCGCTCGAAGTTGTACAGGAAATCAAATCGGCACGCCGAGTTGGACTGAATAAAAACAAGTAAAAGTGAACAATGGTGTCCATATAAAAATTCCGAGGAAATTTTTGCAAATTTTCCTTGGTGTGAGGAAATGCTGTACACAGGTGTCTCCTGTAATTTTATATTCTTGTGATACTTGTCTCCCTTGCTAGCCTAGCGTATACTTATTGATTACTGTACTGATCAAACGTTAAAAACTACTTGTTAATAACTCTTGTTGACTTATTTAATCCTAACACTTGCTTTCCACCCAAATTTCTATAATTAGTGAGGAAACTCCCCAACACAGCAAACATATTTTCCTCCAAAAATACAACTTCTACTCTGGCGCGCGCCCTAGGAGTAAAATGGAGATCGACATCTCTACAAAGGAAATGTGTTATACCATAATTTCACGCATACGTGTTGTTTCACCAACAAACACCATTTTTCAAAATTGCAATTATTATTAGATCGCTGTCGAGCAAAAAGACATCAACTCATCTCACAAATCGATCAAGATGGCGAGCGCTCTTTACCACAACACTGATAAATCTCACCTCGTTCAACTCCTCCCCTTGCACGATCTGTGACATTTGCGGTAGATAATGTATCTGCCGAGAAACGACCGCTGACAATTTCTGATAAAAAATCACCAAAACAGAGCTCACTGTTTGCAACAGTCGCATAGTAGCAACCCAGGCATTCAACGGTGTTGCTGATACAGATGACATCATCCCTACTCCTTCACCACTTGAACTGATGCAATATGAAACAACCAGTGTTAGAAAACTCCGCACAGTATTCTCAGTTTTATTGGAGTTTCACCCGTTTTACGCGAAGTGGAGTAAGTCTCGGTGAAACACGCGATATTCGCGGTATGCCGTGGTCGTGAAATATGTTTTTCACTAGTGTTTTTCACATCACGGATGAAATTTTATTATACAAATTAACACGTGAATCGGATAGAAACTACAGGGCGTTTACAATAGGAAGTAATCCCTACTTCACCACTTGGAAAAATACAAAAACATCACCATAGTCGCCAGTGTTGGAGTAGGAATATACGTTTGCTTTCCTCAGCTGAGCTCAGCAGAGTTTCCTCACTATTTATATACAAATTCGAGTAGAAGCGTACAAAAACCAATAAAAATTTCCACCAAAAAATCATCACAATTCGCATCGAGACCACAGGAGACATGCAATACGACACCACACGAACTCATATAAAAACGTCATCATACGAAATGTAGTGTTAAAGGAATATATGTTCGCTTCCCTCAGCAGAGTTCCATCACGACTCATAGAAGTGTACAGAAACCAACAACAATTCTGGTATAACTCAAAAAATATTTCCTCAGCATTGTATAGGACTATCACGCCACTTCACGGGTCGAAATTTTCACATTCCCATCAACACATGTAGTTGACCATGTGCATATCTCCCTACAGTGGGGCGATATGAAAAACATATTTCACGACTACTGCATATCACCGCGAATATCGCGTCTGCACTTCATGTAAGACAATTACGACTTACCCAATTTCCCTCCTTTTCCCACCAGTAGGAGATTCTCGAGGCGACGACGTCGTCGTTCTCAACGGGGTGGACGCTGAAGTGGCTGATCCAAATTTGAGCAATAGATGTTAGTTTTCCTCAGCTCAGCACAGTTTCCTCACTTATACAAAATTCGGAATAGAAATATACAAAAAAACCAATGAAAAATTCAACAAAATTTTCTCACAATTTTCATATTGTCACCACCACACGTAGTTGACTACATGAAAATATTCTCTCCGATTTTACATGAGAATACTTCTAGGTGGTGATAGAATTCAAATCGACTCGTGCAAAAAATTGTCACTACAGTGGCGTTTCACCCGTTTTACGTGAAGTGAAAAACGCGATATTTGCGGTGATATGCAGTAGTCGTGAAATATGTTTTTCGCTAGTGTTTTTCATATCACGGGTAAAACTCCATTCACTTAACAAATTTTCCGATTTCCTAACATCACAGACTGAAAATGGCAAAAAAACGAAAAAAAACGAAAACGAGAAAAACGAAAAAAAAGGAAAAAACGAAAAAAACCAAAAGACCAAAAAAAAACCAAAGAAAAATAAATTTTTGCGATCACCATAATTTACCATCAGCAGTTTGCCCACGTTCACCATCATCAGTCGATCGACTAACCAAAGATACTAATGTGCCCGAAACCGCAAGATACCTAATAGGTTCCCCTACAAAGATTCAAAATAGGCCCGATTCTTACCACAGAAGATTCTTCCCAGCAAATACAACGTGTAGTAGCGGCGAATCATCCCACAACGCCAACGCGAACAAGGTCGCCGCAATACTACCGCAAACGTATTTGATCAACCTGAATTGAAAATCAACAGAAAAATAATCATAGCGGAGCGAAGCCAAAAATATTTCACCAGCCTCTGGCAATTCCCCAAAAATGAATAACATTCATACAAAATCAGAGCGGAGCGAAGCCAACGCATGCGTACCTTTTAGTAGCTCCTTGTATCGGTGTTGTTCCCCAACTCATATTAACAAATGTTTCCGTAACGCTTCCCCCTCCCCTCGGTAGCAACGCTGAGTTCAGCCGCGAACGATGAAGATGTGGTAACTCTAGAAACTAACAACAACAAAGTGCAGTGAGAATTATACGACGTAGATATATCAGCACTACTATTGGAAAAATATATGCTCCCTTTCCTCACCTGAGCTCAACACTTTCTTCACAAATGATATAATTTTCGGCACGAGAACAATGGAGTTTCACCCTGGTGATATGAAAAACACTAGTGAGAAACATATTTCACGACTACTGCATATCACCGCGAATATTGCGTTTTTCATGGAGTTTTACACCACTTCACGTAAAACGGGTGATTTAACTCCAATGAGAATTTCATCGTGAATCAGTGTCAAAAATATGCACACTATCTGGGAAAATTTCCCGAAATTTTCATTGCTTTTTATACACGCCGTCCGAAACTCCATAATTAGCGAGGAAATTCCCAAACTCAACTGAGGAAAAAATCACACGCACATACCGATGCAAACAGGTGTAAAAAACTTGTTTGTGAAATAATTTCTACATTTTTTTGCTCTCCGCGATGTTCGCACTCGGTGAAAAAATCCTCCGGAAAAATTCACCCACTTCCAAAATTTCAAAAAAAACTCCAATTTTTTCCGCATTTTCCCGACCCACCTCCCGAGTATGAAATTTCGCCACATTCGTCCACTCCCTTTGCAAAGGACTAGCTCGTGCACTTCTAAAATCGTCCGTATATCTACAAAATATCATCATAAACGGTGACGAAAATACGGAATTTTTCACCCACTTATTCTAACAACCCTTATATCTACAAAAACGATGAAGAATTTTATTAACTCGAATATACAATCATAAACGGTGACGAAAATACGGAATTTTTTACCCACTTTTATTTTTAAACGATGAAGCAAAATCTATCAACTAGAATTTATGATCAAGTTACGCGATGTGAGAATCCGGGCTCAACGATTTCACAAATTTCCAACGATTAAAGCGAAAAAATTCCGAAAATTTTCCCCAAAAAATTTTTTTCCTCACTTTAGCCAGGTAAATAAGAAGCTCATCATCAACACTGGTATCAGCGTAACGAAGGCTACGAGTCCCCAAAGTCGGAGGCGCTTCCTCAACCTCCTCGCGAATTCCTCTGTGGTTATCTCGGGAAATAGCTGCTTCGAATGCTGAAAAAATGGCAAAAATTGACATTTTTTTCCAGGATTTTTTGTAAATCAGTGTCAATCCTATTAAATTGGTATTAGTTATCGTAAATTTTACCAAAATTATAGGAAATATTCCGAGTCGTGATGAATAATCATATATAAATAAAATTCACAATAAAGATTCACCAACAACAGAATAATCAATCACGTGATCGATTATCGAATTTTCAAATTGTACTATTTTTACTGAAAATTTTTTATCAACAAATAACAGAGGGAAGCCATCCTATTTAGAACTAAAGATATCTTACGAAACCACCATACCGCACTGCGAAGATTTCAATGATTCACTCAGAAAATTTGCACAAAAAAAGGCAAGTCAAAACGTGTGTCGGTGATATTACGAAATTTTTTTTGGGAAAATTTTGAAAATTCTCATTGAACATTTCCATCAGAATTTGTATATATACTTCTCTAATTCGTGAGGAAACTCTGTTGAGCTCAGCAGCTGAGGAAAGCGAACATATATTCCTACTCCAACATTTGATATACAGCAGCGGTGGTATTGGTAAAAAATAATTGGTTTTTCTAATCGAATGCGAGGAAATAATTTTTTATCAATATTCCATAATTCTTGTTGGTTTTTTGTAAACTTGTATGATTAGTGATAAAACTCTGCTGAGCTCAGCAGCTGAGGAGAGCAAACATATACTACCAAAAATGGGTAAAACCGTCACATATTTACCTCGTCGATTAAACACGGCATTATCAACGTTTTAATGACCCAATTAACGGCGTTCGAGGCAACGAAGTGAGATGGTAGGGAAACCCACGGAGGAATCTGAGAAAATAGAAATCCATCAATTTCAGGAGAATATAAAACTACTCGCGAACCTCGTTGAAAATTCTATACTGTGCACTCAGCTTTGGAGGAATATATTTTTGATCCTAGAAGTCTCTTCACTAGTTGTGAAATTCGGAAAAATTTCCGAAAATTTACCAAAAAATTTCCCCACGATTTCCATATTGTCACCAACACATGTAGCTGACCGTAAACATATTTTCCCAGATTCTAAACAATATTAAAATCGAGTCTTTCAGATAACGCGAAAAATAATCAAAACTCAATTCACATTTCCCTCAACTCCTGCCGTTTCCATCTAGCGTACCATAACTCCGCGGAATTTTAATTTTTTTTCACCGCCTAGATGCTTACCATGCTTAACAACGGTGATTCTTCTCCTTGCAGAAGCAGAGCATATGATGAATCTCTCATAAGAAGGTTCGTCATTTCTACGATGGAAATCCTAGCCTGACAAAAAATACCACTTTCGGACCTATTCCGTATCTTCATCACTCAACCTAAAGATACGCTACATACTGTTTCCAAAGTAAATCAGATTTACAAATTTGTTTAAATTTCACATACCCTCCACTTTTCGAAAAACCAAGGAAATTTCAAAGTATCACAGAAATTTATGTTTCCTACACGATGGAGTTTCACCCTAGTGGTATAAGAAACACTAGTGAAGAATATAATGGTGATATGCAGGAGTCGGGAAATATATTTTTTTCACTAGTGTTTTCCATATCACTAGAGTGAAACCCCAATTTTGAGAAATTTGCGGGAATTTCTGGGAAATTTTCTGGTTAAATTAAAAATTTTCCCAAATTTTCATATACCCTTATACCGACCTGTAACATGCACCACATTTGTCTTCCTTCCATCACGGTTTCATCTCCTCGCGTGGCGCCGTTTTGCAACCTCACCAGTCTTCTAGCTACTTCAGCCCACGAAACGGCTTGCAACGGCGAAAAAGATACTGTTTCCGAATCCAATGGAATCTACCAAATATTGGAGGAATATATATGTTTGCTCTCCTCAGCTGAGCTCGGCAGAATTTTCTCACTAAGTAATGAATTCTGATAAAAGTGCACAGCAGGCAACAACAATTTTCGAGTTGGAATTGCCGACGACCCCTCATACACCTCTGCTAAAATGAGGATCGATTTTTGAGGAATACATGTTCGCTCTCATCAGCTGAGCTCAGCAGAGCATACGAGGTAGGCAATCATCCACAAATCATCGGAAAATATGCATATATCCATTCGGTGAAAATATGAAAACTCTAAGGAATTTCGGGGAGATTCCCGTTGGTTCGTCCACCATTTGTAAAACACATACATAAATGTCATACATTTGTCATTACATCATTACATTAAAATTACATCATACATTTTTTTATATTTGTCATACATAAATGCCAAACAATTAGTGAGTAAATTTCTGAGCTCAGCTGATGAAAGCGAACATATATTCCTCCAACACTTGAGTTACCTTCACGACCGTGGTGATATGAGAAACACTAGTGAGAGATATATTTCACGACTACTGCATATCACCGCGAATATCGCGTTTTTCACAGAGTAATACGCCACTTCACGTAAAACGGGTGAAACTCCGCTAGTAAAGAACATATTTCACGACTACTGCATATCACCGCGAGTACCACAGTATCACGGGTAACGGGTTAAACACTATAGATATTACCCCTAAATAGTCCTGATAGTAGAACGCTGCATCTCTCGCCTCCTTAATAGTCATGAACGCTCCTGCTGCCGCTAGTCCCCAGAATGTCAAAGTGCCCAGAAACGACCTGAACTTTCGAAGTTCTGCTGATTGCGGATTTTCAGAAAAAAGTTTCAGCAAAAAATTTCAGATTTTTGCTCAAAAAACTTCCCAAAAAATAAAGAAAACCCTAATTTGCTATGCTACAGTAGAAGTAAAAAGGGAATACATATGAGTCGAAAATGACTACCGGTTTTCGGGAAATTCTCGAATCTTCAAAAACCCAAAAACTCATTTTTCCAGGCTGAGATGACATCCGCTATGCCAAAGTAGGTATGATGAGAATACTTCAATTTTTGGAAGATTCTTGAGCTCACTAGGAGGACGAAATTGTGATCACTCCCCATCCGGGAAAAATCAGTTTTCCGCTTTTCTACTACAGTAGCAGCACGAATTTGATGAGCCCCAAACCCGCCAAGGGGTTGCTCTTGAAGAGATGGGCGTTGACACACGTCTCGGGGCTGGTACCTGAGGAGGATGACAAAAACGATGATACGGTGTTGTGGGTTCTGCTAGGAAGCTTCTACGGCATACGGCGAATTTCCCATAAAAACAGCAAAGACTATGCTGGGACTTGCGCGGTGCTCGGGTGTTTTATATATAATGTGTTGATGGTTATATTGACGACTTAAAACGGCGATCACAAGAATTGAACCTACGACCTATCGATTACAAGCTTAATATCCTAATCATTCCACCAAAGAGTCACTAAACATTTCAGTGACAGTGAGAAACAACCCACCAGACCCTTGCCTTTTATACTACATGATAACAGCGAGCTCCAGTCAATCAGAAAACACAACGTGAATGCAAAAGTGATGGTGAAAAGGACGGCCAAGAGGTTGCCTCTGAAAACCACATCCAACTAAAGGCACGATATCCAACCTAATCCGTATCTTACATGGTGTAACCTAAGATACCATAAAAGCCTCCTCCACGGTAATAGTTGTAGACCGCTGCTAAGAACTTCTCGATATCACTCACCTGTTGAGGGAGCATCACACCGGAAAAATATCAATCCATACCATCTCTACCGGAACTTTTATACGATTCATAGGCTACTCACCGTTGACGTCACGTGTTCATGTACTGAGGTGTAGTACCAATTTAACGATTATTTTTTTATCAAGTTTTAACAACATCTACTTAATGAAAAATGAATAATTTGTGAGTCAAGAAGATCATATTAGAAATTAGCCTTACTCTCTGAGAAGTTCCCATCAAACTTGAACTCTGCCACAGTCGTCTCGTATTGCTGCTACCATCCATTGTACTTCCGAAATCAGAAGACGACGCCGTGACCGAACTACTAGTCGAAATCGAACCTCTAGTGGTAGGCAGGTCGAACATGGGAGCATAGGGACGATTCACGGGTTCGAAGGGAATCTCCGATGACATTATGAAGTATCACTGCTATGAAAAAAATGATGGAAATGGACTTGCTCTAATTGGTATCGTATTAGCACCAAGGGTTATATCGTCGTGGGAAGTATACCTAGTCTCACGCTGAGTAGGATGACTGGTGGTAAAGATTCCGCCGATTTCCACGAATAAATGCCCTCGTGATTCACCGATCAGTAACCTCTCCGAGAACTGGAGAAGCATGGGAAACATGCTTAAGAGTTCAAGTGACGAGCGACTCATCCGGAATCGAGTTGTGTCAAGACTACAAGATAACGAAGGGATGGCTAGTCGACTTCGACGAGATGGTCTGATATTCTCTCTGTCAGTCGTTAGCGTTGCTACGCTTCTTTAATTTTTTTTTTCAAATGCTTGGCATCATATCATGTTAACCTCGAGATATTACTTGTCCCTCATCATGTTGGGTATTGTCATGTACCCAATCTGTCTGGTTAAGAGTCTCGGATCATTGGGGTACCTCATTACGGTTAGTATTCTCGGAATATTCTGGTTGGCTATCGTAGCTCTATATCTCCTTGGCTCGAATAGTATCTCCGAGAACTTCGATCGTGGTCATGGCATGATCGTCATGCATATGCCCCTGTCAGCTGGATCGCCTGCATCGAGGGTGTCACGACGTACATCTTCGGTTTCTGCAACCAAGCTAACATGCCCGAGATCCACATTGAGATGAGCAATAGGAGCCCTAAGAAGCTGCGCTCGGTCGCCGTCTGGTCTGCCGTTATTTGCACTGCTGTTTACTTCATTATTGCCATCTCGTTCCTTCTGGTTTTCGGTTCTGATGCACAGAGTAGTGTCTTGCTTAACATGGCTGATTGGATTCCCCAGGGTGATGTTGTTGTCATCATTGGCTTCATTTGGACGGGCATTTCATTCATTGGCACTTATCCGTGTATGGTGTATCCTGTCCGTGTTGCCCTCATCAACACCTTCCAACCAAAGCGTGCTGACTTCTGAGGAGTTGTAGTCGTTACTATCGCTGTCGTCATCTCTCATCTCATCGATATCGCTTTGCCTGATGTATTCATTCTGATGGGTTGCCTCGGTGCTGTTGCTGGATCCATCCTGTGTTTCATTGCTCCTGGGTATCTCTGCATATACATCTCGAAGAGCAAGAGATTCTTCGCTGCTGAGAATTGGTTGTATGCAGCATTCGTTATCCTGGGTTGCATTACCTTGGTTGGTGGTACCGCGATATCGGTTTACCAGATCCTAGAGTTCGCTGAGTAGATGACTACTACTACACTAATACGAATCATAAAGACGAATAACAACACTATCTGTTGTACTGCGATTGAAATGTGATGGAAGAATGGTTTCTTATTATTAGGCTGTTGACCAACTGTTGACTCCTATTACTGTTGACATTGTATGTGAGTCCATAGTGGTAAAACCGCTAGGAATGCGTTAGGAGTGTTGCTGGTTATTTACTTCATTGAACTTATAAAATGGTTGTCTTACCCTTAGACTGTCACAGGGGCTATGTTATGCTACCAGGAAGGTCTACCCTCTGAGCGCTGGGTTCCTATATTGCTGATTTTGGTTTTTGTTGGCTATCGTGATAGACACCGCTGCTCTTGTTTTTCACTGCCACTTTGTCCTCCCCGTTACACAGTATTCTTCGCGGGTGAGCAGAGTAGCAAATTCAGTGGCTACCCTCATTTTGAAGGGTCTCCTGCGTCTCGGCGGTTGGTCTTTATCAACGTTGTTAGCATTCTTACCAAGTCAGCTGGTGCTGCTGTAAATTTGGCCAGTTTGCCAATTGTCACACTTCAGCAGCGATGGTTCATCATTGTCTGGCAGACAATGTCTGCAATGATGTTCATTATGAAAGAGTCCATCGCTGTGCCCACGATTTGCTAGAGAAGTACTCCGTGGGGATTTTTTTCTTTGAAGCATCGGCAACATGCGTTTGTCTTCAGCCTTCTCCCCACATTCATCATAATTTCCTCCATTGGTCGGATGCTGAGTCTTCTCGTAGTGTCAGTTGAGTGGCAAGGATAGCCTCAGCGTTTCGATACGTTCTTTGTGATCACTGACTGATATATTCTATCATCATACATATCCTCATCTGCTCTGTTACTCCTCGCGAGTACTTGAAGCCGTACCTCATCATTCTCTCTTCCTACTGGTATTCGTCATGCGTCATCACCGACCACGGTTATTTTCACCAAGAGATGGCCGCTGGCTGATAGCAATGCTGTCAGTCTGTTTTTTTAGGTGCGCTGACGATACCTCTCAATGTCTAGGCTTTACTGTGACTGTGAGTGTTATATATTGCTGATATTCATCGGATGAATTTCGTCCTTCTCTAACTACCCTCTAGAGGTGTAGGACTGATTAGCTGGGATCGAAGGCGGGGGGCTTCGCCGATTTACGTGATCCGAGTTTACCTCGCAAAGAGGAACTTTGAACAATCCCGCTCCTCTTACTGAGCTTAAAGCTCCACCGGACGCCCAGTGACGGAACTGCAATACGAGTTCTTAGGCGTGAGGAGTCTCCGGATGCTCAGGTTGAGCTTGGTTTCACACCGTTCCTCATTGCAAGGCCGGCTGCCCTGAAATTATCGAGAAGCGGCGGGGCCCTCGGTCGGAGCGAGTCGCTCTTGAGTGATATTTTGAGACTATTATTCTTAGGTTATCGCCCACGTCAGAAGGTTTTGGCAGTGTCCAGGGGGAATCGTAATCGGACCCCAATGTTTCATCTCTCTGTGTAGCAATCAGCGCCTGGCAGGGGATGTGACTCACTGAATCATGACCCTTGACGTCAGCGCTGCTGACTCAGCTGCAACGCCTTCACTGATGTGGGCGCCTTCAGGCCTGTTTGGGTGTTTGTGAGTCAGTTCGGCGTTCCTTCAAGAAATTTCCTTGCCGTAGCTAACTATAGGGTCTGAATCCTCTTTTGGGTCGTTACTCCTATTTCTTCATGCTCTCACCACTCGCTGTGTAGGCGGCCTATGATCCGCCGTTTACCAGCTTGATATGCAGCGCACCCCATGAGGGAGTCTCCCGGGGGGGTCTAGCTGCGACACCGCACCGTGCGGTGTCGCACCGCACCGCCGTCGTGACGACGGCGTGTTGGCGGCCTGTGGTGGGCGAGGAGTGGCAGGTGGCCCTCCCGTCGGGTGACAGTCACTCAGTGACTTTCTCGGGTTATTGCCCATCGGCAGGTGGCCTGGGCTGCCCAGGTTGGGCACTGATTTTTCTTTTCGTCTCTCTCCCATTTATTATTCAATGCTATGTCATAATGACCACGGGTTGTGGTCCTCGACGTGAGCAGGCTCGGGTTGAGCAAAGTTCACTTCTATTTACACCTCAAGGCTGGTTGCCTAGTGGTGTGCGGATGGCGGCAGGTGGCCTCCCCCCGAGTGATATCTCTGGGATACTTTGCCGAATATGGCTCAGTGAAATGGTCTCTGGAGGCTCGGGTTGAGCATGGTTCATTCAAGGCTTGCCTGCTTAGTGGTGGACGGGTAGTGGCAGGTGGCCCTCCCCCCGAATGATATTCTCGGATAGTCTGCCCGATATGGCTCAGTGCGATGATCTCCGGATGCTCGGGTTGAGCATGGTTCATTCAAAGCTTGCTGCTTAGTGGTGGGCGGGTAGTGGCAGGTGGCCCTCCCCCCCAAATGATATTGTAGGATAACTGCCCAACATGGCACAGCGAAATGATTTCTAGATGCTCGGGTTGGGCATGGTTCGTCTAAGGCGGAAATGCGGGTTAGGTGCGGATGCGACGGGTGGCACTTCCCCACCCAGAGGGTATTTTTTGGGTAATTGCTTAACGGCATGTGGCCTTGGGCTGCCCAGGCTGGGCACTGTTTTGCTCGCTCTTCGTCCCTTTTCTTCTCAGCATTTCACTTCTGATGAGAATGATTCCAACAGTAACGCCTCCACTGAGTTAGGTCCTTTCAGGCCCGTTTTTTTTTGGCGTGAGTGGGTCAGTTCGGCGTTCCTTGTCGTATCCATACCGGTTCATTGGATGCTCGCGTTTAGCTCGGACCGGGCTGCTGGGTACACCCCTATTTCATCCTCAAGGCTGGCGGCTCTGTGATTACTGTTTGAGGGCAGGTGATCTGGACTGTCCAGGCTGGACATGCAGTACCTGACAATGGCTCCCTTCTATCTAAAATCCAGCCCCTACCATATTGGCCATATTGTCAGTTCAACATTGTAAGCACTAATGCCTTCTCAAGGCCCATGAGTCATGGGAGTGGCTTCCATCTCCTCATGACCTCCCACATTGCATGAGCGACCTATGATGGGCCGTGTACCGACACAGTGTACAGTATATCCCTGGGGGGAGAATTCCTGCGTGGTAGTCTTCCTTTTCATTTTCGAAGTGACTCAGCGTCTAGATCGAGTATTCAACTACGGGTTGTAGTTCACTCCGGGTAGTACACAGTGATTTCTGGATGCTCGGATTGAGCCTAGCTCATTTATCGCCTGGTGGTGTGTTGGAAGTGGCAGGTGGCCCCCCCCCCGCGTGATATCTCTCTCAGATAACTGCTCATTGAGCAGTGCTCAACGGCGGGTGGCCTTGGCTGCCCAGGCTGGGCACTGTTTTCTTTGTCCTTTGGTCTTCCTTTTCTCAGCATTTCAATCCTGATGATAATGATATCAACAATAACGTTTTCCACTGAGCTACGGCGTTTCTGCCTGTGGCCGACTTCAGGTCTGGTTCCCTATTAGGGACATCCCTGCCTTCTTCAGCACAAGGAGGGTTTCTCTGCAGGGATGCTCGGGAGCTGGAGCGGTAGTAGGCTCACATGGAGCTATTCTTTCTGAGTCGCCAGGGGGCGACAGAGCGAGCCGTGGAGAGGAGTGCTCCGCTTCGAGTTGACCAACCTCCCACTACTGCATTGATCGATGCGACGGATACGGAGAGGTATAGTATAGTCTACATTATGAATAGTGATTCTTCACCCTTGGCTTTCCAAACCGGGGTAGTGGTTGGGCAGGTATCATTGAACTACTCGGTTAGATCTCTCTTACTTCATATCTCTTTCGTTGCTATTCTTGAGATCTATAG